GCGATGTTGGATCTTCGGATGGAGCGCACGCCATGAACGGGCGAAGTGTGTCTTCCGTCTATTACCACTTGATTAGCTTCTTAGTTCTCTGATCAGGAGATGCCTAAGAGGGTTTGTGGAAGTTTCGATGTTGGTGTTTGGTACTAACTAACTAACTAGTTTCCTTCAGTTCTCATGAAGGCTGAATTTTCCGACTGTTTGACTAAATATGCCTTCTTTGCCCAACCTTGCGTTAAAGTCGCTAAGCACGATTTTAAAATCGTGGTGGGGGCAGCGCACATGTGCTAGGCGCTCATAGAATCGCCTCTTAGTTCCATCATCTTTCCCTTCCGTCGTGGCATATAAACAAATTAGACGAGTATTGTTGAATTTTGACTTTCTGCGGATTGTGGTAATTCGCTCACAGATAGGGGTAAACCTGGAGACAACCGTATTATTATGGCATCCAGCAATTGGATAAAGGCCCTTCCCTACAGGGGTCCGAATATTCAAAATGATTAGCTGTAAATCATAGAAGCCACAAGTGAATTATTGCCAGTTGACATTAAGTCACTTTGGAATTGATTCACTTAAATGGGCGATAAAACCTTCCTAATACATTCAAGATATGTGAATAAATATTTATGCATGTAAATACGAAAGTGTTTAGTTACAAACCATCTAAAGGGTTAGTGTATGCGCTATGCGCTGTCAGGTCGGCAAACATCTGATGTTAACAATAAACGAAACAGCGAATAAAATCAAAAAAGGAAAAGCAAAAATAAAAAATCGCAGCTGCCAAGGACATGGAAGTACAACAAGTGTCCCATGTATGTACCAATGCTGGCACATACATAAGTATATATGTAAAAAAAAATACGGAACGGTAGACCTAAGCCGTAGCGATGACAAATTATTGAAACAAAAGCAAATACAGCAATAATAATACGTTCAACAATACACCCATTAACAATGATTATAACGACGTGAATGAAGCGCCGTTGACGACGCTATCCTTTATGTACATATGTATTCGTATTTGCTATGTATTTCTTCTACGCCAATGCTGTCTCAACAAATACGATATTGTGAATGGAAAATGTAGCAAAAAAGTTATGTCGTAACATCAATGGGGGTACATTAGTAACGTGTAACGCCTATGCTGCTTTTACTCTTTAACTTACAATTGTTGTTGTTCCGACGCGTTATTCGCTGCTAGCTGATGATGTTGTTTAATACTCATGGCGTTGTCGCTGTCGATGCTGCTGCCTGCCATTACCGTAGATCCCATGGCCGATAAAGCGGCTCATGACGTGCCACATGCCAATAAATATGGCTTCAGTAAGTGTCTTTGTTGTTATTACAGTTTTATTGTTTCCATTTTGGTTTGTTGTCACGTAGTCTCACTTGTTGTTGTTATTGTTGCTGANTTTCCATTTTGGTTTGTTGTCACGTAGTCTCACTTGTTGTTGTTATTGTTATACTGCCTGTATACTGTATNCTTCAGTAAGTGTCTTTGTTGTTATTACAGTTTTATTGTTTCCATTTTGGTTTGTTGTCACGTAGTCTCACTTGTTGTTGTTATTGTTGCTGATGCTATACTGCCGCCGCTGCCTATTTTATAATGTTTGGGCGCTTTGTTGCCGTTACTAATGATGATTTACAATTTGTTTACATTTTTGTTATTATTGTTGTTTGCCATTGTTTTTGCCTAGTCCTTCTTGCTCTTGCTTGAATTACGCCTGGCGCGCGCACACACGCTCTTCAATCACACTGCACCGCAGAAACACTGACTGGCACAGCCCGCCAACCAGTCTGTCATTCACAATCGATTCGATTTTCATGTCTCGTCGCCTCTTTTTTTCATGACCATAAATTTTCTTTGCTATAAAATTATTGCCATTTACTTACTATACAACATTAGTGGTATTCACCGAAGTGAGCAAGTGGCCTGGCAGTCTTGCAAAAGAGTAGATCAGCTCAAGTAACGACTCTTGTCAACTGTGGTTGTCTGACCTTATCAGCCCTTTTGCCAGAAACCCAGGCCACTTGCTCAGTTTGGTGAATACCACTATTGTATTTGTATTCATTGCTCGCTTGGCGTACTTTGCCGCTCCGTGGAATATTTTTTTTTTTGATATTGTACTTTAATTGCTCGCTGTGGCCGACTTTTGCTTTCCGTTTTAATTTCTTTTTTTCATTTTATTTCATTTTATTTTGATTACCTTCATCAATTTAGGGCGGTCCGTCTCCCCCATGTCACAGCGGCTGGCCGACCTCCTTTATTCACTCTGACGTCGTACCGTTCAGCGACGAGCCTCGATAGCTCCGTCGGCTGTCGTCGGTAACTTCTTCAACGTCGATAATCGCAATCGATAATCACATCATAACAGGAGAGTTGGTCTGTGTTTTTTTTGTTTTTATTTTATTTTTGAATGAGCGAGTTTGCGCGTCCGCAATAAAAAATCTGTTGGCCAAGTCTACCTCGGCGAGTAGTTGCATCTCAATTGATATGACGATATGGATTTTCAATGACGCTTCTTTTGTTTCTGCTGCTGTTAGTGGCGTCGTGTTGCTTTCGACTTTTTTGTTTTCTTTGTTTGTCGTTCCATTTAGGTTATTTTGTTTTTTTACATAATGGATTTACCAATCAGCGTGTGTGTTTACCTCCACCCTCTTTGTATTTGCAATTCAATTCTTCTGCCTGCGGTTACTCGGAAACTCGTATTTGCCGGTTGGCAACGTCGTCATTTTCATATTTTAGAGCGCGTGCCAATACTGCATTAAATAGTAGACAGGGCATCACTCCACTGGTAGACATTTAGGCGCGCACGTAGCAGACAGGCTGAAGGGTTGCTAAAAAGTGTGGAAGTGAGGCAGGTCTGTGTCAGAATGACCAAGATGTAATTTTTTTCGTCTCGTTATGGTTTAAATTGGTTGTTATCTCAGATAAAGAAGGAGTGATCTACGAGCCATAATACGACTGGTTATAGGGCACAATTCATGGGAACTACATATGATCACCATAGGCATCATCGAAGATGCACTGTGTGCATCTTGTTTGTAGGATGAGGAAGGTACAGAACATTTTCCCTGCCGCTGTCCGTCCTTCGCCAGACTCAGATGGTAAATTTTTGGGTCGAATGTACTGAGAATGGACGAGATACATAATATTTTCCTTAAAAAACTGCTAAGACTCATAAAGGAAACTGGTTAGTTTAAAGAGGAGAAATTAAATCCCTCCCCTCTTTATTTGTTTCGTCTAAACCCTGTGCCTAAGCTCTAAGTACAATGGGCAATACTGCCCGAGTGCTTGAAACATTCCGGTCGGTTTTTCCAGCCACCCACATAATTCCATTCTAAATTCAAAGTCACATAGCATCACAACAGCCACCAACAAAGCTACAAAGGCACTTTACGTCGGCTTCATGGTAGGACATGGGCGATAGCTTCGAAATAGTCTTTGGACTGTTAGTCGGGTGGTCAAAAGCAAATCAAGTAAGTTCCGACGTTACTCTGAGAAAGCTTCAGCGCAATGCGCATTTGTGCAACGGAATGCTTGGAATCATCACAGGCATACCATCACATATGTGCATACATAAATATTTAATAGAGAGCATGTAGGAGTGTTCTGCCTTTGCCGAATATATTCAGCTCGAGAGTGCAGGGTTTAAGATCATTTATTGCACTTCCAATTGTTCAAATTTTGGTACACTGACGAATTCAAGCTCGTTGTTGGAAATACTAGACAATACTTTTTTAAACATCCGGAAACAAAGTACCAAATTTTGTTATAAATCTCCACGACGAAACATCCGATAACGGGCAGGTTCCAGCATTGCAAGGAAAACTCAGCATCGAAAAGCTGCAATCATAATAGACGACCAGTTTGTTTGCCCCTCGTATTTGCGAGTAGTGGCTCCACATTTCTCGTTCATTAAGTACTGTCTTAGAAAAAGTAGTAGGATTTCAGCGAGCCCGAAAGAACAAGCTACAGAGAACTAAAATGGCACCTACAGGGCCATGCTCAATCGGGCGCAACGCGAGATGTATGGGATCGACTTAGGGAGCTGAAGGGGGAAGCGAGACGTTTTTTCTAATTGTAAAGAAGAGAAGTCGAAATACCGGCGTGCGAAGAGCTTGAAAAGCTTCCCAACAGGAAAAGCGCGTAATAGATTTTCCAGAGAGTTAGGCTACTTACGGAAGGTTTCAAGGTCAGGGCGAACTCGGTAATAATAACAAAGATCTACCTATTGACTGATTTCCAGAACGTTGGAGTTCAGGCGCCAGCTAGCTATTAGTACGCGAAGACTGATAAGGTGCATGCATCAATATCTGGTCAGATGAACGCATGCCCGACGACTGAAATCCAAGTGTTCTCTGTCTAATCCATAAGAAGTCATAAGCGCCAACTACTACGGGATCACCCTTCTATGCATAGGAGATAAGATCTTATCAAGCGTATTGTGTGAAAGACTGAAGCCCACCGTCATCGAACTGATTGTGCCTTATTAGGTAGAAGCGAAGCGCGTTGGTCTTGGTGGTGAATGAGGACAAAAAGAAGTATGTATCTCCTGTCATCAGACAAACAGTCAGGGCATACATACGTATTAGTGGTCTACTTTTCGGTTAATTGGAAACCAGCATATCGCAATAATAATAGTTGCTTTATTTTCTGACAGAAGCTTTGATTCCTTCGGTCAAAATTTAGTCATCGCTTATGATTTGTTTTCACTATTGAATGGCATTTGTCGTCAAATAAGTGAAATACTTATAGGATTAAAAAATCTAAAATCTAAATCTGCTACCTGCCTGTTTTTGGTCCATAATATCATAATAAAATATGACGACAAATTTTGGCGTCAAAATGTGACATAGGCCCTTATTATGAGTTGCATTCGATTTTCGATCTTCGCTGATTATCGAAGATCCAAGATCGAAAGTGAAATTCGTATTATGAGCTATGCAACCGTGTCGAAATTTTCGTTGAGTATCGAATTTTCTGTCGAACGTCGTTAGAAAATTGTGAAAAATGTATGATTTGCATTTGTTTTCGAAGATCGAATGCAACTCATAATAGGGAAAGCTAGCCTTTAGTGAGACATTATAAAGCATTACAATTTCCAACACACATTCATATTTACTATGAATGCACATACATATGTACATATGTATGTATGTATGAGTTTACGTATGTACGTTTGCAGATACATATGTACATCGATACACAATAAAATTTTTTTAAAGAACAATGNTTTGTTTTCGAAGATCGAATGCAACTCATAATAGGGAAAGCTAGCCTTTAGTGAGACATTATAAAGCATTACAATTTCCAACACACATTCATATTTACTATGAATGCACATACATATGTACATATGTATGTATGTATGAGTTTACGTATGTACGTTTGCAGATACATATGTACATCGATACACAATAAAATTTTTTTAAAGAACAATGCCTATACCAATGACCCGACGGGCACTTGGTAAAATCGTTGACAGCTTAATGTCGCCGCAATGAAAGTCATGCTGCGAACTGCGCTGTCCTCAAAGGTCGAACGTGAGCCATAAAGTGGGAATGAATTATCAAAGAAAACAAAACCAACAATAAAATATTTATCATGCGTATGAATAGGCGTGTGCATATTTGTAAGAGTACCTGACAGGCAACGGCAATAAAAATACATACATTCATATGTATGTACATGCAGCGCCGGTAACCACAACAACAACCACATACTCTAATGGCTACTAGCGTGCCATTAAACGCCATGCCAAAGAACTAGTGACATTTACGCTGAATGGAGAAGAAGCGGAGCAAAACAAACAATTAACAAAACATTACTAAATGCATAGAATTGTATAATCGTCTATGTTTGTATATATGTGGACAACAACCACTTGGTAATGGAACAAGTATCCAGTAGTGAAGCAACAGCTGACTTTGTTACCTAAATGCCTTTATACAAAAGCACATGTATACCCACAACTGTACATACCCATACTATGTGTGAATATACATATAAACAAAGCAAACCATACTAAGCAATTAAAAATAAAAACAATGAGGAGCACCACGAAATAAATGTAAACAAACGTGGAACCATTAATGAAATTGAATTATCGAAAAGTCGCGTGGCGTCGCGCTAATGGTCGGCGCACTTCACATACCCTTGAATTCATTTGTATATACATACATATGTACATTTATGTGCTTGGAAATGCTAATAGACTTCCTCTTTTGGCTGGGATATGATTAAAAATAAAGCAGCAGCCGGCATAATGGCAGCAACAACAAAAAATGAGCATTAAAATAGTAATGAATATTTATGTAAATACTCGTACATAAACATGTATGCATACATATACGTTGTGTCAAAGCTCAGCGGTCGCAAAGCCACTAAGTCTATCCGCGACACCACCCAAACATGCCTAGCCGGCAAAGGCACGGCGATAAAAATATTTCAACGAACCCAGACGACCTCTGCAAATTAACATTTGAGCTCATAATATGCAAACACACATTTACAAATATTTAAGCCTCCATATCTACATACAAACATATGTATATTTGATAGTAGATACTCGTACATGCATACATATACAATGCCTTCATATATCAGCGATGACAAAATAATAAAAACAAGCACTCGAAATTTTTAACCACAATACCATTGGCATGCCGGCGTGTTCAAAGATTTACTCGTTTAAAAATTCATACATATTTAGTAGGTACCTACCCAACCAATCAACGGAATTCACAGGATGCACAATTATGATTCCCTGTGCGGTGCGCTGGTGTTCCTAGGGAGGCTCCCAAAAGTGTCTCAACACATATCGTCCCGTTTATGCCTTAACCACGTATCTATAATTTTTGGGGAAACTAATATTACCACTTATAACAGCTGTTTAAGCGACACACTATTTGAATATAGAATAAAG